AATGAAACAAATATTGTAGTACAGAAAAGAATAGGGATATACACTATAAGAGGTTAAGGAGATAAATAAAATATACCTAGAGGCAGGCCATTCAGCAGTTGTGCCAAACAAATCTTGAAGATATCAGTTAGTTATAGAATGATCTGTAAAATATTAACTGGATACAGTAGAACCAAGCAGGTATCTAAAATTCTATGTTTCTATTTTATCAATAGTATACAGTTCCTGCTCCACTAGAGCATAGGTTCCATCTTCATTCAAGCTGATGTGGATACTGCACTTCCACTGAATGAAGAAGTACAGTATTTTCCCAGTAGAAAAATAACTCACATAAATCCTAAATCCTGTACTACAGCAATCCCCAAACTTTCTGACTCTGTTGATCGGCAATAGCGGTGTCAGGGGGGAGGGGCTGGTTTCGTATGCGCAACTCAATCCTGCACCTGTGCAAATGGAGCTTTGAGCGCTTGCCCTTCGCTTGCATGGCCCGTTTCTTATCAGGCCGCGGACCAGTACCAGGCCGCGGACCAGGGTTGAAGGTTGAGGGCCTCTTCTGTACTAGATGCTATTATGATGCTTTATAAGAAACTCAAGAGGGTAAACATATACAGTATAATACTCCTTCCTCTTCTTTTTTCCACAAAAACAACCCTGTGAGGTGGGTTGTTCCACTTTTTCATCATATATTTCCATATTTTAACTGAATTCACAGGAAACTGTCAGGAAATAGGATCAATTTCACTTTCCTGTTCTACTTAACCATAGCAATAATAATGGTTGAAATGCAAATTTGTATATAACATTTAAAAAGCAATAATAGCTATTATGCCATGAAAACCATTCAAAATGCCTAACTGGATCATACCATTATTAGGACCAATCCAACTTTCAAGTGCTACAGATTTCTTTTACTTGGCAAGATGTTTAAAAAAGGAAAAGATAAAGAAACAAGGGAGTCTAGAACTTAGGCTAAAATTTTCAGCCACGATCTCTGTATTTAAAAAGTCTCAAGGTGGCCTTACAGTCTGCAAGCCACCATCAGCTGATACACCCAGCGTTCAGAAACAAGCAAAGAAAAAGATGTTCTCTCCTGCTCTGAAGAAAAAAGCAATTTAGTCCCTAATCTGCCTTTTACTCTGGCAGGTCATATCACATCGCAGAAAAGCTGAATGTAATTTTGATGATCCAATAGATCAGTGATGGTGAACCTTTTTGGCACCAAATGCCAAAAATGGAGTGTGTGTGCGCGCACATCTGGGCCGGAAACCGGAAAAGGAGCTGCCCAGGGCGCATGCGCACGCCTGAAAACAAACTTCCGGTTTCAGCTACTGAACTTCCAGTTTCAGCCAGCTACCCTTCCGGGTTTCTGACACACATGCGCACGTGACGATCAACTGGCTGGTGCGCATGCTCACACTGGAAAACGGAAGACCAGCTAGAAGATCTTCTAGTTTACAGCACTGCTGCATGCAAAAAGGCCAGCTGATTGTCGCGCAAGCATGCGCACCAGAAACCCAGAAGAGGAACAGGCATCGCCACGCTTGCCAAGTGACATGGCTCCGTGTGCCACTTCAGGCACGCATGCCATAGGTTCGCCATCACGGCAATAGATAAATATTAAGCCAAATTAATTTTACCTCTAAGTCAAATGAATATAATAACAAAAAGAGTGCAAAGGAAGCATTTCTTTTGTTGCTCTCCCCTTCCTCCCACCAACCCTTTGGGGGCGCTTTTTTGTGTGTGCATATTTTGGGGAGTTTAATGGACATAATGAATGAGAAACCTTGCAGGTCACTCAGACAACTAATTTTATCCCAAAAAACCCTGGTGTCCATTTTTTTGAGAGCAATTCTCAACATCTCACAGAAAGCCTATTAAAACCCCCACTGTTCTGGAAGTTCTACACTCAAATCCAAATCTTCACTCAGCCCAAAATAGAAATAGCAATAGCACTTAGACTTATATACCACTTCATAGTGCCTTACAGCCCTTCTCTAAGCGGTTTACATAGTCAGCATATTGCCCCCAACAATATTGTCCTCATTTTACCAACCTCTGAAGGATGGAAGGCTGAGTCAACCTTTAGCCAGTGAGGATTGAACTCCTGGCAGTGAGCAGAGTCAGCCTGCAATACAGCATTCTAACCACCACGGCTCATAAAAATTCACTCACAAAAGGTGTGAGTGAATTCATTTCCTAAAAATATAGGGAGGAGGAGCTATTGCATCATTCTGAATATCTACTTTATAAAAGGCCTTTCTCATCCAGTGTACATAACACCATCCCAGTATAGTGCATTGGTTGGTAACCTAGGTGCTGCATGCTGTTGCAAATGCTTCTGGACACACTGAAGTTAAGCATCACAAAAAATAAACTGAAGAACTACTATACTGACGGGGTTATATTCACAATTGTCTTTTATAATATTCTAGTTAGTTGCAAAAATATATTTTGTAACGTATTAGTGAATTGCTTATTTTAGGGAATGCATGTACTGCAAAATTGGGAAATCGACTAAATCATGTCCTAACACAATTAAATTGTTTATTTTGTTTTTGACAATTAAATCAAGATTTAAATCTTAGCCAATATCTTCCACACAAAAAAGAACAAGTTGCTACTTAATGGAACTTATTTGATAAATATTACAATCTGTTTCTGAATTACAGTATGTAATATATATATATATATATATATATATATATATATATATATATATATATATATATATATATATTACATACTGTAATATATATATATATATCATAAAGAAATAAAGGGAGACTAGTATAGATCTATTTCAAGCTATTTAGCTCTCATCAGCTAGCCATATCCTTACTTGGGTTCGAACTTGGGCTTCCTGCATGTTAGGCATATAAAAATATATAAATACACACACACACACAAGATTATATGTGTGTGTGTGTGTGTATGTATGTGTATGTATTGGCCCCCACGGAGAGGGCGTGTAACTTGGGTGTCCTCCTGGACGCACGGCTGTCTTTAGAAGAGCACATGACGGCCGTGGCCAGGGGGGGCTTTCTATCAGGTTCGCCTGATACGCCAGTTGCGCCCCTTTCTGGATCGGGACTCCTTATGCACGGTCACTCATGCCCTCGTCACTTCCCGCCTGGACTACTGCAATGCTCTCTACATGGGGCTCCCCTTGAGGAGCACCCGGAGGCTCCAACTGGTGCAGAATGCAGTCGCGTGGGTACTTATGGGGCGACATGGCGCTCCCATGTAACACCTCTCCTGCGCGAGCTGCATTGGCTTCCAGTGGTCTTCCGGGTGCGCTTCAAGGTACTGGTTATCATCTTCAAAGCGCTCCATGGCTTAGGGCCCGGTTATTTATGAGACCACCTTCTGCCACCGATAACCTCCCACCGGCCAATACGCTCCCACAGAGAGGGTCTCCTCAGGGTGCCGTCGGTCAGGCAATGTCGACTGGTGACCCCCCAGGGAAGAGCCTTCTCTGTGGGAACACCTGCCCTCTGGAATGAGCTACCCCCAGGGATACGACTGATCCCAGACCTCTGAACCTTTCGCCGGGCTCTAAAAACGTTCCTATTTCGGCAAGCCGGGCTGGCTTAACATTTTTTATTGGCGAATTTTATGGGTAAGGGGTTTTAAATTGGGGAAAGCCATTAGGGATTTAATTTTGTTTTAAATGTATTTTAATGTTTATACTGTATGTTTTTTAATCTCGGCTGTTCACCGCCCCGAGTCCTTCGGGAGAGGGGGCGGTATAAAAATATTAAAAATAAAATTATATATATAATCTTCAGGAAGTAGAAGCAGTAACATTCATTTTTATTTTATTATTGTTATATTTTTACTCTGAAAATTTCCATATAATAGCACTTTAGCACATACATTGTCTGCAGATATTCCAATAATCCATGTCAGTAGATTTTCCCCCCCACTGTTTGGTGAGTTAGCTATTTTTTATTTCAGCTGTAGCTCTTAGCAGACCAACAAATAGCCACTGAATACAAGCGTACATAGACATTATGACTGCATATATTCTTTGGTTCTTAGCTATAATCTGGTGTCTATTATTCTCCTTCTAATCAAAATGCGGAAAAAGGAGCATTTTACTTTGTAATAAATAAATGAATACATAAATGTGCTTATAATTATTATTATTACTTCTTCATAATCTGGCCTTCTGATCAAATGCTTCAACAACGTTAATAACAACATGAAATCCAAATTCAGTAGAATTTATATGTAGGTATGTGGGCATAAATCTATTATGTTAGTTGCTCAGATACATTGACTGATACTTTCTAGGAAATACATAAATAACATTGTAAAAAACATAATATTCATGACAATGAGTACCAATTTTTTAAATCCATCTGAATGCAATAGTTCAGAGGCAATATTATAATAAAATTAAACAGAATATAATCAACAACTTATCCCAGACATCTTTGTATGATTTCTGAAGTCACAATTCTTTTCAAAAGTAGTTATTTCCAAATGATAGTCTATGCTAAATTAGCAAATGTCATTATTTTTTGTCCCTAGATAATTAATTTGTTTCATGGGAAGCAAGTTAAATAGCCCAAAGAAGGAAGGAATTAATCCATGGATACTATATAGTATTTTTTTACTAATTCATGCTAACTTTGTTGTTGTTGCTGCTGCTATTGCTTAAAAAAAACAAGGTGCAAAACTTTCACCACGCATAGCAAGCTTTAAATAAATATATTTTGGATTTTTAAAAAATAAAACGAAGCTTTACACGATCGCAGCTGCTCCCCCACCCCCAAGAGTCATAATTCATGGGGAACCTGCTTTCTTTCCTCTCAACTTTCATTCCTCTCCAGTAAATGCTGGGAAGGTGGGGGAGGGAGAGAAGAAGTAATTTTAATCTCTGATTTCAACTTCAGCGTATAAATCATACCACTAATAAGATATATACCATAGTCTGCACCTATGTACAACATAATTTCTCTGAGGAAATAACTGTAATAATTTTTTAAAATTACCAAACGCTTGGAGAATTCTTTATTTTCTGAAAGGAATCCATATCCTGGGTGAACCTTAAAAAAATAAAAGACAAAATTAAGTTTTCTAATGCCAGGCATGCAGAAGCTTAATTTGCACACTATATACTCAGCTTTTACTTTATATTAGATGAATTTATTCTGCTGAATCATTTATTTTGAAATTCATTGTGAAAAAATATCTATTTGAAATTTCTGCACTAATTACATTAAAAAAAACCTCAATTCATCTACTATATCTAGCACCCTTAGGCCCAATTTACATATGTGGCACCTTTAAAAAAATAAGCAAAAAGCATATCAATTTACTTAAAATCACATAATAAAGCAGGTTTCCCAACATTACATGATCTGTGTGACATCATGCCAGGTCACATATTTCTGATTTAATACTCTGCATGTAAGTGTATACAGTTAATTTATAGAGAACACCTAACATATATATTTTAGATACACTAAGTATGGATCGGCCTAGTTGAAAACATTAACCTTCAAAGAAATAGATATTTTACTAGTTTTCTATTTATTTTATTTCCACTTAATTAAACCATTCCCATAATTCATTACATTTCTTTCAACATAACCTTTTCCACACCATTTAAGTCTGTAATATCTCTGCTTTACCAAGTTTAGAGTTTGTTTTTCTCTCTAAATCATTTTCTTAACTGTTGCTTCACCCACGTTCGTAGCTATATCATCAGTATGAATGCAAAGTTTCAAAGAAAACAGAATACAAAATCTGTAGACTGAAATAAAATGTCAACGTGCCCCTACACCAAAATAATGAATATATTATGCAAATCTCTATACAACAAACAACACTTCATATAATTACAAAACACAGCAATGTGAAAAAATAATCAGTTTCATAATTTGAATCATATGTAAATTCACAACTAAGAAAATATATGCAGTGAACTAAAGATGAAAGCCTGAACTATTTTTATCTCTATTAAGTCTTCTTAACTAACAATGTAAACATCTGCAGTGTCTGTTGGCTAATTAATGTTGTTTGCCATTTTTCCACCCCCTCCCCCTTTGCAAATGCGCCATACTGAAACATTTATTTCAAAAGAAATGATAATGCTAATTGAGACACTCCAGGGTAATTGCTGGTGTTGGCCGACTCCCATCCCTCGCATTTTATTTAAAGATGCTTTTGCATTCAGCGGTTCTGAAGATCACATTTGCATTCAATGATGCAATAACAGCCCTAAAAGTATGTTGTTGTTGTTGTTGTTGTGGTTGTTGTTTAAAAAAACAAACATTCCTATAAAATTTTGAATCTAGTCCTAATTCAGCAGAAGAAACAGAATAGATGGAACTAATATGAACACTGATCTACTCCAATACATTTCATCAGTAACACAATACATTTAAAAATAATAACTGGATGCACCATGTATTTCCACGCAAGTGTTTTGCCGCGTGCACATTCTCACACAGGCGAGATCATAAAAAAGTTTGAAAATAAAACTATTGTTAAAAATAAAATCACACGCTATTGTAGGGAAGATCCAAACAAGAAGCTATGGCACAGAAAGGGTTAGTGCTCTAAACTAATTGGGATTTTTTTTTCCCCAGCAAATTTGGAAATGAACTGAAGCTGCTCCCTGGTGTGAAAGCTGAATCCAGCAGCCACCTGCAGGATCAGCGACCGGCACTGCCAGATGCTACAAAAGCCTTTGATTTCCAGTAGCAATTTCGGCCACATTTAACTCTTGTGACATGAACTAAACTGAAATAGCATATTCAATCATTCTTCACCTCACTTTTTTTTAATCTTTAAATACAAACTCTAGTGTCCTTGCTTTCTATATATGAAACAGCTGCAGAGGAGAGATTCATTCAGACTCACAGCTTGGGCCCGCGTTTTTTTAATGGCTTCCATGATAGCATCCATGTTGAGGTAGCTTTTACTAGTGGGAGCTGGGCCAACACAGACTGCTTCATCGGCCATTTTCACGTGGACCTGAAAAGACAAAATGACTACATTTTAATATACATGTGCCAGCCAATGTTTACTTCTATTTCCCTAAGCTATTAATGTTAAAGAATAAAAACCGATACAAATGGCAAGTGAATACATTGTGTAGATTATATGCACATATAAATCCCAGCACTCAAAATCAGATATACAAGAGAAGGATATAGATATGGATAATGAAGACAGGTACACACTGTGCAAATAAGGATATACAACAATAAATTTCGCTTTATACTGAAGCACAAGCATAAGGACATTATGCTAAATTCAGTGATATTTAGAGAATACACACACAAATACAAATCAGAATTTGTACACTGATCATCTATATGTAAATTCAGAGTCTAAAACCATTTTGTTAAATGTAACAGCCTAATATCTTACTACTTAACAACAAACATTCACGGCTAGTTCCATCTAAGCAGGCTCCCCAGGAAGTTGGGGATAATTAGAGTGAATTGAATGAAGGGATGCAGTGGTGTCCCTGCACAGCATCAGGTCAACTCCATGCCCAAATTAAAGCATATGACTAAAGAGTTCAATATCACTACACATGAACCAGAAAATCTTGAGATTTTTTAAAGCAACCTTAGATTCCCAAATTCATTCTGATCCTTTTTCACACAGACTATTGTCAATTATATTATTTCCAAGCAAATCTGAGCAATAAGCAATAGCTAAATAAAGTTTCAGAATCAATTTTGAAAAAAATACATGTTCTAAAACAGCTTATTTGTTTTGTATTTTAAAGACACTTGATCTTTTTTTAGAAATGATCAGAAAACATGTGATTGTAATAATTAGAAATGGAGAAAAGGCTTCCATTACTTTTATTAAATAAACAATATTTAAAATATTAGATAATATTCAATGAAGCATTGTAATGTAGTTATTTCATTTTTTTATTTATAGTCTATGACAGAACTAAATGTAAGGTAGTAATGGAAGTTAAAATTACATTTAGCAGCAAGTTCTTTTCATGAATTTAAATTTGTAATAAGCAACAACATCCAAATGTCAGACATCTGGAAGTATTAAAGAAGCAAAAGAAAATTTAAAGACTTGAACACTAAACCTAGTGTTTATTCTTATCAAAAGATATCTTAAATAGCTACTGAACTTAAATATAGATCTTGATGAACAGTTTATTATGTTACAGTATTGCAATATTCAAGTTCCTTAGTTACTCCAATCAGTAATAGACAATGCTACCATTCAAATGTTAATATATTCTGCATAAGGTTTATAAAATGCTATCCTTAACAAATATATAATTTTTCATTACAATGTAAGATACAAGAATCATATAAATATGCATTTTTTCTGAATTTCTCTGAAATTAGTATTTTTATTTTTATTTTTGTATTTTTTCTCATCTTAGTCAAAAAGTGGTAAATGATGCTTTAACTTCACTACTCTGATTTTTAAAAAATAGATGTATTCTTAATTATGAAAACAATCTAAGCAGCTTGGGAAATGCATATAACTTCAATATGCATTCCATTTTCCAATTATACAAAAGCTTAGGAGAATTTTCCCACTAAATTTTTAAAAAATGATCCACTGACAATGATACCATTGTACAATTCAAAAAGCATCCTAAATGATGTAACATTCAAAGCAGGATTATCTACTGCAATCCTTTGTACCCTTTTTAACTGCTGAAACGATTATTTTATTCTGAAATTAAAAATGATCCTATATTCATCTCCATTCTATTTTTACTCCAACAAATAATTGACATTTTTCAGAATGAACTTCTTCCCTTCTATTTCACCTGTACACATCTATAGTCAGCCCTCTCTTGCAGAGAGGAGGAAGAGGAGGAGAAGAAAAAAACAAATATTTTGCTAAAATGTTTTTAGAGTTTATTTATATTAGAATTAAAATTTTAAACTCTGCCTTTCTATACTGTGATAGGTTAAAACAACACAGAATTACTTTAAGCAAAAAAAAAAAAAATTAAGACAATATATATTTTCCAACACAATAAAATTGCAAATTGCAGCCAATAAGGACAATAAATGTATCAGTAAAGTTATGGGACCTGTAAATAAACAAAGTCATGAAAATGGAGAAAAGGCTTCCATTACTTTATTAAATAAATATTTTAAAATATTAGATAATATTCAATGAAGCACTTGCAACATAGTTATTTTTGTTTTTTTAATTTGTAGTCTATGACAGAGCTAAATGTAAGATAGTAATGGAAGTTAAAATTATATTTAGTGGCAAGTTCTTTTGATGTATTTAAATTTGTAATAAATAACAACATCCAAATGTCAGACAAATAGAATAAAAAGAAGCAAAAGAAAATATAAAGACTTGAACACTAAACCTAGTGTTTATTCTTATCAAGAGATATCTAAATAGCTACAGAACTTAAATATAGATTTCGATGATGCAGTTTATTATGTTACAGTATTGCAATATTCAAGTTCCTTAGTATGAATAAACAAAACATCATGCAAAGTTTACAAGAAGTCAAGACACACCACTCTGTGAAAGCCATTCCACCATCTAGACACCATGGTCTCATTCTTCCACTATTTCCTCTCCCCCCCCCCACCATTATTGGGGCAACACAAAAGCTCCTGAAATTGACAACATTCAAACAATATTCAAGCAAAGGAAAAAAAATTGGGAAGAAGCAATAGCAGAAAGACTCCAATTAATCAGGAAGGGAAAAAAAGCCAAAGATAGCATCCTTAACAAACATATTGACAAAACTGGAACAAAATTAACAAATGATTCTTTTAACTTTTATGAGCCATGGTGGCGCAGTAGTTAGAATGCGGTATTGCAGGCTAATTCTGCTGACTGCCAGCAGTTCGAACCTGACCGGCTCAAGGTTCACCCAGTTTTCCATCATTCCGAGGTTGGTAAAATGAGGACCCAGATTGTTGGGGGCAATATGCTGACTCTGTAAACTGCTTAGAAAGGGTTCTAAAGAACTATTAAATGAACTATTAACTATTAACTATTAAGAACTATTAAAGTATATAAGTCTAAGTGATATTGCTATTGCTATTAACTAGTTTTCAACTGCAGCCTGGTCATAGTTTGTGTAAGTTTGTGTATTCTTTCCAAGGGAAGTCCCAATGCAGAAATCCAATATGGAGGTAACAATTATCAAATAGCTATGACTAAATCAGACAAAAATGAACTAATAGATGAACTGGGATATCAAATTAAGTTAGTTGGAAGCACTCTTGGCTACTATTCTCATCTGTACATCCAAACTGATGTTGTTATTTCTAAATAATTACAATTCTATCAAGGTCAAGTTGAATATGATTTACAAGTTGATCAGACACTTCAAATGATAATATTTATTTTTAGATGAATTAAATGTTTAAACTAAACACCCTAACTCATGCTGTCTCTGCATGAGTAGGTTATAGAAAGAAGACAAAATGTTTCTATTTACAGCAACCTCCAATTTTAATCTCAGAAGTCAGCACAGAAGTTAGATGAGGGAGAATGTAAATAGAGAAAGGTCATCCAGTGAACTTTAGGATGGAAGAGGTGTAAACCTATAATAATCTCCAATAATCAACAGTCTAACCAGTGAAATACAGAGGATTTTAAATTTGACAGCACTAACCAGCATTTCATGGCAGAAAATCTTCATAAATACTATTGCAAACAGCAGAAATTAGATCATTAGGTATACATTAGGATGCCAATATAACTCTGATTTTCTTACTCTTGGGAGTTTAGAATATACTGATAAGAATTGCAAGAGAGGAGAATACAGTACTATACACTATTTTATTTAAATAATTTTAGATAATAAGATAAGAAAAGGAAGAAATGTATAAAAAAATACATGATGCAGAAAAAAATTCCTTTCTTTGGAAATAGTTGAAAGCATGTCATTTCAACAGCAAAACATTATTTACTTATCTAGAATATTTGGAAGTTGCCTTTGCAGCTGTCCATAGAAACTGACAAAATACATAACCAATATGGAATGCAGGATGGCATTTTACCATTTTTCAGTGGAGAAAATTCCTTTCAACACACTTTAGCACTTTTCAAAAAAGGCAATTTCTGAGTTTTAATTAATTATTTTAATTAATTTAATTTAATTATTTTAGATAAATACAATCCAAGAAATCAACAAATGACATGGTAAATTGACTCAAATCTATATATAAACAACAACAAAAAATTTTATGATTTCATTCCATGGGAATTTCAAATCTAAATGCCTACATTAAGTAAATTTCTATGAGTTACAAAATTTGCTATCTCCAAGATGAAAGATTGTAGCCTGAGGGCTTTGAAAAATTTGTTAACTTTAAATATCTAACTGAATAAAATTTTTACTTTATAATACTGATTTTTAACAATCACCAGTATCAATTATAGAATACTACGTGAAAACCAGAAGTATAGCTGCATTGTTAACAGTTCTGGTAACTCAATTGAGAGTTCTGGTAAATAAAATTTTAAGTGTTGTAGTAAAAAGTTAATAATAAAAAGCTCCATAGTTCCCAAAGTTTCTTTGATAGATGGTCTACATAGAAACCACTGCATAATTTATAGATAATTTACAGATTTTCAAAGCAAAAACTGAATCAGAAGAAGACAATAACAAGTCATATCCATCCTGTAGCCAAGAATATTAACAGGATGTATTCTATTCAACTCAAAAGCATCTTTAGTTTTTAAAGTAAACTCATTCATTATCTTTTGTAAGAGTTGAGTAAAATTTTAAGTATACTACTCCAAAGTGGAAATTGAGAAGTTGTACAAATCCATCTATCATTTTGCAAATGAATTTCACTGTGAGATTATCTATTTACACAGAGACCAAGTAGAAAACAAAATCTGATCAGATGCTTGGTTCACATAGCCAGAACTACCTGCCTTTACTATTTTAAATAACCATTTTTACACTTTAATTAGTTGATTTTTTTCTCCATTTGGTAGACGCTTCTTACATGAATCTAAATGCCTAATTAAAAAGAAATCCA